TTCTACAAATTTAGCCTCTGATTCTATCTTTGTAATGGGTAGATTTGTTTTTGTTGATCCAAAGGGCCGTCGGGGCTTGATCTTTAGGATGAACGGATGATGAATGATGAACACTTTCTTCGAGGGCCGTCGGGGCTTGATCTTGAATTCGTGGAAGTTTCTTCAAGGGCCGTTGGGGCTTGATCTTGAAGGAGGATTTTGACGAAGAACGAAGAGGGCTTTCTTGATTCTTCGGAATTTGCTTGAAAGCTTTAAAGTTTCGAGGCTTCAAGGCTTTGGTGTGGTGTGAATTCTCTTCCAATTTGGGAGTAGAGAAAGTGTATGTAAAATCCTCCCTTGATTCTTTGATGGAGGAGCCTATTTATAGGCTTTGGGAATGAATCACCACCATCCATTTGTTTTGGTGGATGTTGTAGGTGAAACTTGGAGGATGTTGTAAGTGAAACTTGGTGGATGTTGTAGGTGAACTTGGGTGGATGTTGTAGGTGAACTTAGGTGGATGTTGTAGGTGAACTTATTGTATGATGTAGGTGAAGTGAATGAAGATTGTAATTTTAATACAATGGTCAACATTTATTTCACCAAAATTTCAATGTTTTCAAATGTAATCTTAATGCAATGGCTAACATTTATGCCACCTAAATTTCAATGTCTACAACTACATTCAAAATGTTGTTTTAATTGATTAACTGTGAGCTAGTGAATGGTGACTATGATTAAGTATGCTCGAGGGTAAGGATTGCTTAAATCTATGTAAGTGGTGATCTTTGGCATGTCATGTTTCATTGAAAATCCCTGAGGCAACTATTGGAAGGTCTATGTTATGTTTTGTTTGTTTCGTTTGTTTTGTTTTGGTCGAGGACTAGCAAAAGCTAAGTGTGGGGGAATTTGATAGAAGCATATTTATGTGACTTAGTTAGCTTGTTCTTGTGCATTTATGTTGTTATTTCTTAGTCAATTATGTATTTTAAGCTATTTTCGTGTGTTTGTAGGTTCAAATAACAAAGTTAGCAACAAAGTGCTATTTGGAGCATTTTGGAGCATTTTTGGGCCAAGATTGGATAGTGCAAGCATGGAGACATTAGGATGGACGTTTTCGAAGATTTGAAGGCTAGAAATCAGCATGTGTGTGTGCAAGTGTGTTGACCTACAACTCCAAACATCCATCCACTACACCCATTACATCCACTCATTACCACAACCATCTACTACACCCATTACATCCACTCATTACCAAACATCCACCCACTACACCCATTACATCCACTCATTACCAAACACTTACCCACTACACCCATTACATCCACTCATTACCACAACATACACCACTACCACCTTAATTAGATGGTGGTCCTCTCCCTAACCTATAAATACATCCACCCATCACCATAACAAGGGGGAGGAGAAAAGATCTATCAAAAGACGCTACATTCACATCTCACAACTCCATACACTTACACTTTCATTCCTCGGCCGAGAGAACACAATCCACCCATCCACCCTTCACCATAACTCACCTATATCCATCCACCACCATAATTTACCACTCATCCATCAAACCACACCTTGTGCCGCAACAAAGAGAAGAAGGAGGACCCTTGGACGTGCTTGCCATTCATGTTGGATTGTTGGAGCGTTTTTAGATGTTTTCATTCTTTTGTTTTCAATGTCTAAATTTGTTTATCTTTGCTTTGTGAGTATGAGGAACTAAACCCCCCTTAGCTAGGGGGAATTCGAAACCATGTTCATGCTTGCAATATGATTTGATTACCTTCAGTTGTGACTTCATAAGTTGTGAATTCAATTTGTTTAACTGCTTGATTGATAACTTATTCGTGTATGTTTATTAAGAGTGCACACTTAGTTTGCATGCATGAATATGATGCTAGAGTACAAGGGAGTTTCACCTAATAGTTACAAACTTATATTCACAAGTAGTAGAGGTCGCTTATAAACGATCGCGTTAAATAAATTCTTGGCAGGAGTTTCATGCTTATCATAGTAACAAGTGCCTCGTCAATACTTATAGTTTTCATAATGCTTAATGATATTTGATTGTATCTTTATTGTGCTGTTCATGTAAAGAACTTTTGAAGAATGCTTGAATTGTTGTATGCGCTTTCCCATCCAATTCAAAAACTTAAGGAGAACTTGAAGGTTAATTTAAGCGGACTTAATTAACCTGGGGTGTTGAGTTTCATGATTGATCGAAAGAACAACTGAAAATTGGTTTATGTGCAAGTATGTCATGTGTGGAGAAGAACCTCCTAGCTAGCCTTCCATCCATTCAATTTACTCAAATTCGTGCAGATTTCATTAGTTCTTTAATTGACTCGTCAAAACCAAAACCCCCTTTACTTTAAAGTGTTTTATTTGTCAAAATCTATTTTGATTTGTGTTTTTAGGTGTCCCAAAAGTGTGTTAGAGTCCAAATCTATCCAGTTTGTGTTTTTAGGCAAATTTGAGCGTTTTTAGCTTGTTTTGAGTCCTTTGAGTTTGTTTTAAGTTCTTTGAGTCTAGTTTAGTGTTTTTAACTTTGTTTATATGTTTTTAAGTCAGTTTAGAGGTTTTAGCAAGCCTTTCTAATCTCCGGTTTAGAACGATCCCTACTTGCATTTATACTACAATTTGACAACAAGAGGGTTTAATTTATGTGTTAAGTTAATTTTCGCATCAATGCTATCCTGTAACATTGAAGTTGAAGATTAATAAATTAATGTGAGTTTGCTTCCTTATTTTATGCCTATTTTATTATTTTTTATTGCCGTATTTACTTATCCTTTACTTTATCTCTGTTTATTTCAATTTATAATTATTGTGTTGTTATCTTTATACATGTATTTGCTGCTTGTTTATAGACTTAATAATAAGTTAAAACAAGATTAAACATTTTTAATTTCCTTGACGTCTATGGGCTATATATATAAAAGAAACCTTTAAGGGAAGAGATCCTTTTTTTATTTATTTTTTATTTTTTATTTATAAAAATGGGGATTAGTTCTGGGGTCCACACCACATCGAACTTTAATAATCCGAACATCCTATTTTTCAAGTTGCACTACATAGATCATCCTTACAAAATATTAACCAAATTAGAAATGTTTAAGAAAATTAACGAATACTTTGTTATATAAGAAATAATGAAATTTTCTCTTGATAATTAAAGAGTGTTACTAGACCCACTGTATTGTCTTATTTTTTCACCCACATTATTATTTCACCCACCATAAAAAGTTAAAAAATTAAAATAGCACCCACTATTATTCTTAAAATAACCTTTTAGTATATTTAAAAAACAAAAACCCTCGATCTCCATCCTTAATCACATCACCACATCTTCGTTATACTCTAGCCGCACAAACACATGACTTTCAATGAAACTTTGGATTTGGGTGGTGTGTCGAGGTCCGGCTATTGTGGTCTAGTTGGTGGTTCATATTTTCTCTGCATGTCGTTGGTTCTCTGAAACTCTGGATTCAAAACAACCCACCAATGACTTTCAATGAGGTTGTGAGCTTCTTGGTGTTGGAAAGATGGAAGCATTTTAGGGCAAATCATAAGTTGGTGCTTTGGTGTTGCCTTTCTTAAGCTTGAGTGCATCTTGTCGAATCCTAGCCAAAGTTGACACCCAAACCCCTCACCTACCTGCCTCAAATTCAGGCCTTACTAATATCCACTTTTGCATATCGGTGTTGCCGAGGACGATGGGAGGCGATTACTTGTTAGTGGCCGGTCACCGGTTTTCTCTTTTTCCCCTCTCTTATTTCGCCAGTCGTCCGATCAAATCCACTCAATTATGGCCGTTACAAAAATAGTAGCGTTGACTGCTACGTAGTACCACATAGGGGTTTAAAAATCTTTTAAAAAAGGATAAATATGTTATTTAAATTTTCATTAACAAGTGAGTGGGGAAATAGGACAATGGGATGGGTATAACAACACTCTAATTAAATAGGCAAATAGTCTCTGATTGAGTTGAATTTTTGCAAAGATGATCTATGAACATGACTTACAAAATAGACGATTTAGATCGTTAAAGTTTGATGTAGAGTGAGCTCCACACCTAATTCCTATTTTTTTCAAAAAATAAGGTTTGCTTTGCATAAAGGATATACACACACACACTATATTTTTCTTGTGTCTCGAATTTTAAAAACGTATTTTAATATTATTTCGAACATACGTTTGCATAAGTTTAACTAGCCCGACTTTTGTCAGCTAATGCTGACAGAAAAAAAAAATTAGAAAATCTAAGCAGCAACTCGGGCAAGACTTGCCTTGGCACTAAGTTGGGTATAGTTGGGCTACTGATTACCCTTCAATTTTTGAGCCGGTGGAGCAATGTTTTTTTAAAGTTTTGGGCAACAATTGTGCCTTTGCCTTCCACTGCTTGAACTGCTCTACTAAAGCCAGAAATTGGGGGTGCTGGGGGGCTGCGTTAGGGTGTTTGTGTATGTGGTGTTGGTGTTGTTTGATGGTATTTTCTGAAGAAATGTGGTGAACTTAGTAAAGGTTTAAATTTTTTATTTTTAATGGGGTGCGTTGATTGAAATTGGGGTGACATAAATGAGAAGTGGTGTTTAAATAGAAAAACCTTGGTGTAATAAGGATGCAATTATGTAATTGTATTTGTAAAAATTCGGTTAATTAATTAAACCTCATGTGAATATGTGAATTTTCTTTTCTTAAATTAAAACTGTGTGATGTTACAAGCTTACCCATATACGGATATCATGCTCACTCGATCATCAATTTAATCTAGAATTCAAAGTAAAATTTGAATTGTTATTTCTGTATCAATAAAAAAAAAAATTAAATTTAAAATGGTAAATTTGAACGTATAATTCTCCATAAAACTCGAAACTGGCTGGATCACCCCTATTTTCTTTAATAGCTAAATATGTTGTGGTTGTGGAACTCCAAGTTTATTTAGAACTGTTGAATTCTGGCACCTTATTTGGTAATATGTTTAATAATTGAACCTTGACCTTCCAGGCCTTAGGGACGTGGAGTTTGATTTAGTTTGTTCTCAAAGTGGTGGTGTCCTTTTCTGTGTATATATACATGTGAAGAATTCTTGTGGAACAACACAACCAAAATGTCCCTAGTGTGTGAAAGTGAAACTCCAGAAGATCAGTTGGTCGAAATCCTGTCCTGGTTGCGGCCCAAGTCTCTAATGAGATTCAAATGTATACGCAAGTCTTGGTGCACTATCATCAATAGTTCAAGTTTTGTGGCCAAACACCTCAGCAATTCCATAGACAACAAACTCTCATCCTCCACTTGTATCCTTCTTAACCGTTGTCAGGTTCATGATTTCCCGGATAGGAGTTGGAAACAAGACGTTTTCTGGTCCATGATTAATCTTTCCATTGATAGTGATAAGAATAACCTTCATTACGATGTTGAGGACCTAAATATACCATTTCCAATGGAAGATCAAGACAATGTAGAGCTTCACGGTTATTGCAATGGGATTGTCTGTGTAATAGTAGGGAAAAATGTTCTTTTATGCAATCCTGCAACGGGAGAATTCAGGCAACTTCCCGATTCATCCCTTCTTCTACCCCTTCCCAAGGGAAGATTCGGATTGGAAACCGTCTTTAAGGGATTGGGATTTGGCTATGATTGCAAAGCTAAAGAATACAAGGTCGTGCGAATTATAGAAAATTGTGATTGTGAATATTCAGAAGGTGAAGAATCATATTATGAGCGTATTCTTCTTCCTCACACGGCTGAGGTATACACCATGACTACTAACTCTTGGAAAGAGATCAAGATTGATGTAACAAGTGATACTGATCCGTATTGCATTCCTTATTCTTGTTCAGTGTACTTGAAGGGATTTTGTTATTGGTTTGCAATGGATAACGGGGAATACATATTTTCATTTGATTTAGGTGATGAGATATTTCATATAATAGAATTGCCTTCTAGGAGAGAATTTGGTTTTAAGTTTTATGGTATTTTTTTGTATAATGAATCCATCACTTCTTATTGCTCTCGTTACGAAGAGGATTGTAAATTATTTGAAATATGGGTAATGGACGACGATGACGGAGTTAAGAGTTCATGGACAAAATTGCTAACCGTTGGACCCTTTAAAGACATTGATTATCCATTGACACTTGGGAAATGTGACGAGGTTCTTATGCTTGGCTCGTATGGAAGAGCCGCCTTCTGTAATTCTAGTATCGGAAATCTCAAGTATCTTCATATTCCCCCTATTATCAATTGGATGATAGATTATGTGAAAAGTATTGTTCCAGTCAAGTAACTTGAGGGAAAAGTTCCCTTTTCTCCTATTTAATTTGTATGCATGATATAAAGCTTGAGTTTGCGTCTTCTAATTTTGCTTTATGGCCTTTATACTATGTTTGCTTATAAAGGGCTGCCTTTTTAAAAGTTACTAACAATTCCTTTTTTTCCTTTGGAATTCCCTTCTTGAAAACCTCTTTTAAGTTTTAACATAATCAAGTTAAGCATTCTAGCGTATGTAGGAGTGCAAACATTATTGAGTAAAATCCGGGTTGTTAAAACAAATTAGGCAAGAAAGAATATTTATAGCCTTTTAGCCCCTAACCATAGTTTGTAAAATATGGAATGGGTATAATATGTGAAAAATACATTCGATAGCTTTGCTAAAACTTTACTTTGAAAATTTGGCCACTTATTTTAATTTTAATATTTATTTATTTAATTAATTCTTAAAAATTTGTTATACATGAATTTTATAGGTAGGATTGAAAATTAATGTGTATTAAACGTGAAAAGTACGTATGTACATCTTTAACGAATTATTAAAACCTATATGAAAAACGGAAGTATTTTAAAAAATATGTACGTGTATAATATCAAATTTACTAACTATGCTGTAACCTCTCATCAATAAAACAATAAAAATTATAAAAAGCTAGATATGATGAATAGTATCATTTTGAGAGGCAATATATGACACGCATTTCTTGAGTTCGTTAATTTAAAATCATCAAGAAAAAGAATGAGTGTATCCACAATCTAGTATCACTGCACTAAGATGTGAGAATGCGAAGAAATGACCCACATGAAATTTTTAGCAATAGAATACTACTCCTATATCTAATTAGTTTTTAGATCAAAATTCAACCCATAATAAATGGTTATTGCAAATGGTAATATCCTCGTTAAATTGTCACATAATTAACCACCACCACTGTTTTAAGGGTATTTTGTCAAACAAACCCCTCTATTTATTGAGAATATTAACAGATTTTTCATAAAGACATCATTGTACAGTTAGAAAGATAAGATAATTTTGCCAATTTCTTCTACTCTGCCTCATCAAAATTATTCCAACATCTATGCTGGCTAGAAACTGCTAAATTAAATGCATATTTCCAACAAATTAAATGATTGACATGTATATAAAAAACAAACTAACTCATTGGCCATTACATAAAATCTAAAAGTTCATAAAGACCTAATATATAATTACATATACACAACACTACTACAAAACCATTTAATAATGTCGCTATTATAACCGACAAAAAACAGCTCTTACTGTCGGATATTATACAAAATCCGACAGAAACGGGGTGCAGTGGCAGATATACTAACCGACAAAATTGCCAGCATCAGGAAATAAATTTTCCGACAGAAATTGCATGAAAACCGACAGCCCTTCTGTCGGATATATTCGACAATAAATACTAATATACTGTCAGATATTATTCATTTCTGTCAGTACAAACCGACAATAATTAATAAATTACTGTTGGATTCACATTAACTTTCTGTCGATCACAACCTACAGCCACATTTTTAAAAATTAAAAATATACAATTTACCATCGGTCACAACCGACAAAAAAATATTCATAATTAATTAAACTTACGGAACTCTTTTTTTTTCTGAATGAATAAAAAATAAAATTCAATAAATGAATAAAATAAACAAAAGCTTATAACAAAACGTAATATGCATTCAAATATAACGTTCGATAATGTCATTTGAATCCGCCATAACACATAAAGTAGACGTCAAATATAAAATAACCTAAACTACGGTCATCTGCATCCGCCATATTACATAACTACAGAAAAAACATTTGCCAAAGTAGACAAAAGTGTCAGACATAACCGTAACGAAAACCAACAAACTATTCAATAGATCCCGAGCCTTCCCCCGAACCACCCTGCGCTCCAGAGCCTTCTGCCGACCCTCCTTGCGAACCAACGCCTTCTGCCGATGCTCCCTGTGATCCAAAACCTTCTGCCAACCCATGTGCTTCCAAATACCTCATCACATCCCCATCAAAACTACCCATCATCAACCCAGATAAGAAACCCGATGATAATCCACCATTGAAACCACATTGAGAAATATGTGCGTCACCTGGAGAAGCCATCTACGGTCGATATACTGGCATTGGATACTGGGGCTAAAAAGGCATATGCTGCATGGGATATACAGGCGTAGGTGGCTGCATTGGGGCCGAATGCTGTGATGCCTGAGGGCTGGGTGGTGGCCGAATGCTGTGAAGCCATAACATTATTTGATGTTGATTCATCAACAACTGCTGATTCATTGCCTGCTGCTGCTGGAATGCCTACTGCTGCGAGGTCTTTGATTTCTCAAGCTCAACCGTTACCTCTGCCAACTTTCTGGAGGCTTCTTCCCCCATCCTCCTCAATTCATTGTTCTCAGCTACCACCTTGGCAAATTCACCTTTGGATAAACTCGTGGAAGACCCTGGAACCTGAAGAGCTTGCATATGACACCATCTCTGGTATCACCCCATGACCATAGCCTCGTACCCTATTTCTTGTCTCAGAACCCATCTGCTCAACATAAATCTATGTTCGTACCTCCGACGTGTCCTCTTCCCCATACTCGATAACAGACTGAATTTGACTCTCCATTGATGTCTTTCAGTACAATATTTAAACAAAATAATAAAAAATTATTATCGAAAAATAAATAAGAATCTTAAAAACATATTCATCAATCCAAATAGAAAGATAAACAAATTTGAAATAAATAACAGATTCTAATTTTAATTAATGTGTTCTAACAAATGCAATAATAATTCAAATAGAGTTATAAATCATTTACCCCTCTCTGTTGCAAGGATTCATCAATCCATGGGTCGTCTTTCCGGGTATGAATTGCTCGAAAAAAAGAGATTGGATCCGGCTCCTTCCCATGCTTTCTCTTCTTTAAATCTGTGAAAAGAGAACAACAAAATACATATTAACCCCAGTTTATATACAAAAATTAAATACACAACATATGCTTAGCCGTATGCTTTGACATATACAACCGTTGCAATCGTGGTTTTAAAGGAAAATTTCACATAACCTTAGCTGCGATTTTTTTTCTAGAGTCATCCTCTTCATTGACATTTTTATATCTTGATTCACCACAAACTGAGCATGCGGTCAACTCTGCAGTTTCTTTCCAATAAATCATGCAATTATTGGGACACGCATCAATCTTCACATACTTCAGACCTAAGTCATTTATAAGTTTTTTTGCCTTATAACAAGATTCAGGCAAACAATCTCCATCAGGCAACATTTTTTTTAATTAACTCGAGTAACGTGGTGAAGATTCCGTCCGGCATTCTTGCTAAACACTTAATCTGATACAATCTTACAACTGCCTCCAATTTTTTAAATTCCTTACAACCTGGCCACAAATCCTTATCTGCCTCTTCAAGCAACTTAAAAAAAAGTCTCGACCTCTTTCGGACGCCCTTCCCTAGAAAGGGGCTCAGTAGACGGCCCAATACCTTCTTCCGTTAATGGTTGGACAAATACATCATTAAGAACATCATGAATACCAGTCAACTGATCTCCTGTTTCAATAGATGACCCAACACCTTCTTCTCCAATCCCAGTATTTTGCTCTCCCATGAAAGATTCCCCATGATGTTGCCACGAAGCATTTTTGTAATCTTTATCCATATCATACAACACAAGATGTTCGACAACAGTTTTTCTAACAAAAGTATATCGATTACAACATCTTTTGCAAGGACATCTAAACTTATCGGGGCCAACACCATTCGCAACTGCTTGATCCAAAAACAAATTAATTCCTTCCAAATTTCGCGATATTGTCAACCAACTTTTTTCCATGTTTTACCACTGTACGGGAGCAAATATTACGTTGAAACTAAGATGCCTACAATCTTTCAATCCCTATCATGTAAGCATAACTATTAGAAATTTCAATCTCTATCTTTCAACCTCGAACTATCACAATTGCAATTTAATTTCCAACACCTATCACAGTAAAACAAATTAAAAAAGCAATAAAAGGTTAACAAAAATATGTTTATCTACACTCTTTATTATTTATTAAATTTAAGTTTTGTATATCCTCATAGCAATTAGAGTGAAATATTTAATTAGTTAACATAATATATACCTATATTACTAAATATTACCAATTTATGTTATATTAAATATTGTCAATTTAACATAAATATTTACAAATAATATTTATCTCAATTTCTTTATAACAATTTAAGTAAATCAAATAAAGTAATGGAACACAAATATTGTAACATCCCACATCACCCAGGGGAGTGATCCTTAAATGTATATTCCCATCCCTACCTAGCACGAGGCCTTTTGGAATTTGGAAGCTCACTGGCTTCGAGTTCCATCGGAACTTCGAAGTTAAGCGAGTAGCGCACGAGAGCACTCCCATGATGGGTGACCCACTGGGAAGTTGCTTGTAAGTTCCCCAAAACAAAACCGTGAGGGCGTAGTCGGGGCCCAAAGCGGACAATATCATGCTACGGTAGTGGAGCGGGCCCGGGAAGTGGTCCGCCCCAGGCTGGGATGTGACAATTGGCATCAGAGCCTAACCATGGCCGTGGTGTGCCGACGAGGACGTCGGGCCCCTAAGGGGGGTGGATTATAACATCCCACATCGCCCAGGGGAATGATCCTTAAATGTATATTCTCATCCCTACGTAGCACGAGGCCTTTTGCGAGCTCACTGGCTTCGAGTTCCATCGGAACTTCGAAGTTAAGCGAGTAGCGCGCGAGAGCACTCCCATGATGGGTGACCCACTGGGAAGTTGCTCGTGAGTTCCCAAAAACAAAACTGTGAGGGCGTAGTCGGGGCTCAAAGCGGACAATATCGTGCTACGGTAGTGGAGCGGGCCCGAGAAGTGATCCGCCTCGGCTTGGGATGTGACAAATATTCCTAATTTATATTACTAATTAAATTAAAATCTCTAAATAAATAATCAAATAAGGTAATGGAACACAAATATTCCTAATTTATCTTACTATTTAAACAAACAATTTAAACATCAAGAAGTTCAGTAATAAAACCTGAACTATTGAAG